GGCCCGCGGGGTCTGGCGCCGGGACAGCGGGCCAGAACTCCGCGCTGCGGCCGCCGCCCCCGCGTCCCCCACCGCGCCGCGTCGGGCTCCCTCCCGCGCGCCCAGACCCAGCCTCCGGGGGGGGCCCCCTCGCCGCGCAGGGAGGCGCCTCCAACGCACCTTCCAGACCACCCCATTGTTTGTGAACCGTTTGCTTTTGGGGGGCGGGGGGGTTGTGGTATGTCCAAGAGTGGTCATGGTTTTGTTTTTAACATGTTTGGTGACTTCATATATACGTGCTGGTCATTTAAACGTCCCGGTCAATCCCGAATACATGACTTTTTCTGGGGCGGAGGCTGGCATTGGAAAGAAAAGCAAAGACGTTGCGGGGAAAGTATGGCTGGAGACGAGCGGAATGGCTCATGGGTCTCGCCTGCCGAGCACTGTCCGGACCTCGAAGGGGTGCAGACCCTGAGATCTCTCTCCTCGCCTTCCCGTGGAGCTTCTCCAAAGTTATCTGGGAAATAATAGTGGGGGAAGGTCAATCATAGAAAGTTCTCGGGGGAGCCTGCGGGTGCGCGAGCGCAAACCCAAGAGCATGGCCAGGTGGCGGTGACCTCAGTCAGTAGCCCGCAGTCCCGCTTGCGCCAGCGCTTATTAACTGATTAACCAGAAAGAAGAAAAGAGACACAATCATTCAAAATTTCAAGACCAGGGGCGCCTGGCTGGCTCCGTCGATGGAACTCGCGACGGTCGATCTCAGGGGTTGTGAGTTCGAACTCCTTCTTGGGTGTAGAGCTTATTTAAAAATAAAATCAAGAAAAATTAAAAAATTAAAAAATTAAAAATAATTTTAAAACAATCACCTTTAAAAAAATTTAAGACAAGTAAAATTGGAGAGTGTGTGGCGAGGCACACAGGCCTCTATCAACGGTGCCTTCCCGGGGCCTTGCCAAAGGTGAGGGCTTTACCACCGTGCACACAGTGGAGCAGAAGGCAGAATCCTCACCCCCCCACACACACCCCGCCAAACCAAATTATTCACAAGGTTTCCACAAACCAGGTTATTACGAAAGCCCCGCCAAATCGCACTTAAATTCCGCTGAGGGCAGACGAGACCCAACGAAGATTTCGTTTTTGAGACGGTGGGTGGGATGCAGCGCGAAGGAGGCGGATAATCCCGCACTGGCCGCCCAGGGCCGAGGACTGGGGTCCAGTGGAATCTCGATTCTCCTGAGCAGGTCCATAGAGGTGCTGCATGGAGTCTGCACCGGGTTAGACCCCAGCGCCAGGCTGGCGTCGCAGAAGCCCGAGGGGTACGGAGCCCAGGGACTGTGCCAAGAGCCCTGCGCACCCACCATGTGTTTGGGGTGTTGAATATGAACGGCCTGGGAGAGGCACTGGTTCGGATGGAGTTTCCTGCTTCAGGGGAGAGTCCCTCAAGTAAGGCATACAACCCACCGCCGAGGGTATTTATTCTGCGCAAAGGAACGTTACTGGATCGGGTGGGATTGTGTTTTCCCGGCGACCCACAAAGAGCCTGCCAACCACCGTGAACAGTGCAGATGTATCAGGTCGTTGCCGACCCGTGGCTGGCTCTAGAGACCCCGGTGGTGCGGCGTCCCTCACTCTGGACCCTGCTGTGGTTTCCCTCAGCCTCACTCCAGTGCTGGCGTTCTCCAGGGGGGCCCCTCTTGCTAAGTGAGAGGACTTGCGTGAGAAGGAGCTGGGAGGGCCACTTCTGGCTTTTGTGACAAGCCAGAGGCTGAGGTATTGGTAGTGGCCGGAGAGATTCCGTTTGTTTTGCCTGCCTTCCTTCCTCCTCCCCCTTCTTCTTAGTTTTATTACGTTTTGGGCTTTCTGTTTTTGCAATTCATTCTAAAGCGAATGACAAAGGCTTGGGTGTGCTGAACGCAGCTCCCTCACATTATTCTTTCTGGATAAAATGCATCTCAGAGATGGGCAATGGCCAACCCAGACTATCACAGCCAGCCAGTTTGTGAGCTGGGATGGAAACCCAGGCCTCAGGCTTCTTGGGCCAGCCCTCCCCGCCTCCCCTCTTCTCAAACACACCCTTCTCACATACAGCCCTTCCTAGCCCCCATCCCGGCCCCTTCCACCTTTCCTGTCTCCCCCCAGGCCCACCACTGGTGGCTGGTGGGCTGTGATACAGCTTGGAGGGAACCTGTCCTTGAAGAGTCTGCTCTGAGGAGACAAAAGTGTTTCTCAACCAAGAGCCCCAGCCCTACACCCTCCGGCATGTGGAAGAAAGGAGCCCTGAAGAGGGAGGTGATGATGGAAGGACATGTTTCCTCATTTGTGAACTGAGGGTCATAATTGTACCTACTCCATGGGCTTTTTGTGAAGATACACAGGACTTGAATGTTGTGTTTTATAAATTCCAAAGGGCCATAGCGTGTTTCCTACCACTGCACAGGAATGAGGATCCTGCATGAGTTCAGTGAAGCCCCCTGGGAGTTTAGGAGAGGCTCTCATTATGGGTCTCCTGGCTTTGGAGGATGCCCAAAGTCAACAGCCACAGAGGCCTGCCAGAAAACCCACCCTTGCCTTTTTTTTTTTTTTTTTGGCTAGGTCCAGCACAGAAGGGGCTCTGGCTACATGACCAAGGGACAAAGTGTCCTTCTACTCATTCTTTCGGTTCCACCTCAAAAGTACCTCCTTTGTGGGGTGCAGTTGGTTAAGCGGCTGCCTTCAGCTGGGGTCGCGATCCCGGGTCCTGGGATAGTGTCAGGCACCCTGCTCAGCAGGGAGTCTGCTTCTCCCTCTCCCCCACCCCTCCTCCTGCTCATGCTCTCTCTCTCTCTCAAATAAATAAAATCTTTAAAAGAAAAAAAGTACCTCCTTTGTGTAACCTTCCCTGACAGCCAACTCCACCCCAGAGAGCATTCTCTTCCTTTCTTGCACCCTGAGATGCCATCCTTGGAACCCACCACACCACTGTTGTGCGGCTGCCTCCTTCCAGAAGAAAGTGATGGTGGTAGATAGAAAGATTTGGAAGGACATATCCTTGTACATTCATAGCCCCATCTCTAAGCTGGCATGGTAAGCGGCAGGTCTGGAGTTGGGTAAGAAAGGGGGAAAGTGGACCCATGTGAAAGTAACATTTCTCAACTGAGCAAACCCTGCATACCCTGTTGGATGAGAGGGACTAGGTTCTCCAGCCACCCAAAGGAGGAGTCTCCCTTTCTCCTGAAGTGCCGAGAGCTCAGAGCCAAGGGCTTTCTTGGAAAAACTCATCTCTATCCATTCCAGAGGAGAGTCCAGTTTGAAGCCAACTTGCTCATCTTCTCCTCAGGACACTGACTGGGGGACTTAACCGCCCCTGCACCCTCCCCCCTTGATCTTTCTGTCTCTCTGAGCCTGGCCACCCTCCAGTGCCTTCTCTTTCTCTTCTCAGCCTCCCTCTTTTTCTGATCCTGGTCTTCTCCTACCTTCCAATGCTAAGACTGCTGCCTCCACTCTGAGCCCTGATAGTGGGAGCAAATATGTGTATGCAAACATGAATATGCCAGTCCGAGTTGCATACTCAAGGGAGAAAAGGTGTATAAGCGGATATGCTGGGGAATCTGTGGGGACTGGTGGGTTTGGGGATGTAACTGTCTCTCCCACTAACATGAAACGACTTAGATGTGTGTGGACAGTTATCGCTCAGAGGTTGGATACATTTGCCTAAATGCTTATATGCTTGGATTTCCTGCAGTTTTGAGTGTGTACAATGGCAGTTAGACTTGTTATAGTCGCAGGTCTGTGTAAGAGACAAGTATTGTGCTTTTTTCAGGGATAGTGCTATTTATCGTTGGGCATATCGATGTGTTTTACATCAGAGCCTACACTCCGTATTTGCAGATCCATTAATGGATCTCTCAGTTCATGGAGGGATGCTAATGTGAACATCAGTATAGACAAACACCTGTGTTTGTATCTATGTTGTATCTGAACGGAGCCTGCGTGTAGTTGTCTACCTGTGGCCATAGATAACTCGTATACGTGGACACCTGCCTGTCAAGGTCTCGGGTACTAAAGTTCAGGGGCAGGTCCTGCACAGACTGGAAAACGCGGCCACCAAGACAGGCCCGCCGTGTTTCCTGAGCCCTCGCGATAGTCAGCGAACAGGACTCGCCTCTTACTCGGCGGATTTTGTCCCGGTTCGTGCAAGACTTCAGCCTCACAGGGCGCCGGGGAAGGCGGGCTGCCGCACGGGCAAAGCCAGGACGGCGGATCCCTCCAGGGGCCTCGGGGACCTGCGGGAGCCTCGGTGTCGCCCGCGCACCGGGGCCCCTGCCGGAAGCGGAAACCGGGCCGGGGGTGGGGGTGCGGTGAGGAGCGGTCGCGGCGGTCGCGGCGGTCGCGGCGGTCGCGGCGTGTCAGGCCCAGGGCGCCCCGCGGGGGCGTGTGTGCCGCGCGCGTGCGGGGCAGGCTGGCCGCGGGGCCGCACCTCCCCCGACCCGGCGTCTGTTTACCAACAAACTGCCGGCGCTCGGCAGCGGCGCATTCCGACGAGCTGAATAAGCTGCCGGCGCTGGCGGTCTGGTCTCGAATCCCCTGCGGGTCGGTGGCGGCGGGATCAGAACGGCGGTGCGGATCCCCGAGAGCTGGAGAGCGCGCCAGGCCGTGCCCCGAGCCCCCGCGGCCGCCGCGCCTCCGCCTCCCTTCGCCCTGGGCCGTCCCGGCCCCGCCAGCTCCCTCGCATTTCTGCCACTGAGACCGCGGCTCCCAGCCTGCCCAATCGCCGTGACACCCCAGCAGCCCTCTCGGAGAAGCCCCCGAGGTGGCTGGGCCTGGAGCGTACGCACCACCCCTCGGATCTCGCCGTTCTGAAGTTCCCCACCGCGGGCTGCCCCGGGGGGGGGGCGGGCGCCGGCTCCAGCCTCCGTGAGGTCACCGCGTGCGGCAGCCAATCCGTGGCGTCTAAGTGGGCGGTGCCCCCGTCGGGTCCCGGGAACCGAACCCAAGAGCCAGACGAGGGGGGCCCCATGGATTTAGGGGGGAGGGGAAAAGCCATGGGGGGCACCTCTTCGGAACCCCTTTCCCAGGCGCGCGCTCTCCGCTGGAAGAGGCGCAGAGAGACACTTTCCGGGGAATCTTAAGTGTGCAGGAGGCTGGCTGGGGGGCTCATCCGGTCCCAACGCCCGAGGCTCGGAAAAAAGAGAGTTGGCGGAGGGAGCAGACTACGTGCCGGGCCATGGCCTAGGCCCTTCGGACCCGGCCCCGGCCGCAATGACCTCTTTGCCCTGCCCCCTCCCTGGCCGGGACGCCTCCAAAGCCATCTTCCCGGACATCGCCCCTGTCCCATCGGTAGTGGCTACCTACCCGCTTGGCCTGTCCCCCGCAACCGCAGTCGCCCCCGATTTGCCCTACTCTGGGCCCTATGGCCACCTCCTGTCCTACTCTTACACTGCGCCGGCGACCCCGGGAGACTCCTACCTGCCCTGCCAGCAACCGGCGGCGCCCTCTCAGCAGGAGCCGAAGGCAGGTAAGTCCGGCCACCGCGGCTCTTCCCACCTCTGGGGTCCTGATCCTGTGCGTCCCTAAACTTCGCCCTCGCCTGGTTGGGCGCAGCTAGCGGGATTCAGACCTTACTCAGATTCCACGGGATCTGGGGGTGGGGGGAGGGCGAAGGGATGGGGCGGGAGACAGGGGGGAGGGGCGGGGGCGAGTCGATCTAGGTCTCCTTTCAAGAACGACCTGGTTTCGATTTGCAGTTGTGTGAAGCCGGGCGGCAGGGCTCCCTACCCCAGCCCCTGGAGCAGCGGGGTTGTGTGTACCTACGTGTAACGGAAAACTGAAACAATCCAGATGTGGGTGTGGGTGCCTAGCCCCTGCCCCAGGATTCTTTCCGTCGTGCACTTCTTCCCTTCCCCAAGTCGCCTCTCCCCGTTTGTCTTGTCTCAGAAAGTGGGGCTCAAGCCAAAGCCAGACAAATGGAAGTCAGGTCCCAGCTGGAGGGCCGTGGAAGTGGGGGCTGATTCGGGGCCCCTCCCCCTCTCCCTTGGCGGGTGCCTGAATGTGCCTGACGGAGACTGGAAGCTGGCCTGGCAGAATCTGGGGCCAGGCCCCCACCACTCCTTGTTCTAAGAAAATAGCCACAGGTGGGTCCGGCAGTCTCTAGTTGTAGATCCTGGTTCCCTGGGCCTTCCTGCTGAAGGAGCTGGCTGTCTGGAGCATCTCCACCCCTTGCCTTTGTGGGGGACGGGTTAGGCCCCAGTTCCCGTTGTCTGGAGCAACTTGGAGCCCCTGAGAAAGTGCTTACTGGAAGGCCTCAAAGAGGCCAAGGAGCCCGCCTGTCTTCCTGGTCCTGTGCCTGGTATGGGCAGAACGCTTGTTCTGTACCTACCCGCTGTACTAGCTCCAGATTAGAGCTCAGATCCCCTGCCCTCCCTGCTCCCACCTAATTGCCCCCACAATTGTCTTTAGCGCAGTCTCTTCCAAGATGCCCATCCACCGGGTGGCTTTGCTGGAGTCGGCCTGGACCAAGACATCTCTCTCCCTTACTCCAGCACAGGAGCTCAGAAATCACCCAAGCCAGAAGTGACCCTAAAGACGTGGGAGCTCAACCTCCTTGGTGTACAGATGGGCAAACTGAGGCCTAAAGAAAGGGTGTGTGTGCCTGTTTTCCAGGCACTTGGCCCTTGCAACTTGACTTTCACGGCATGAGGCCAGAAAAGAGGATTTTAGGGAATTTCCTCAGAGCCCCTAAAGTTAACCGCCTTCTGTGCCAGAACTGGGCTGCCTCTCCCAGGCTGCTGGGTCTGTCCTTGTTAGAGGAGGAGCAGTTGCGAGAGGAGGTTTGTGTGTTTGTTTGGTTTTGGGGTTTTTTTTTATACAAATGATCTAGTTTCTACAAACGAATCCCTTGGACTCTTCCCTTTAGTACGCGGCACATTTGTGTGTATGTGTGTGCAGTGGGGGTGGGAATAAGATAGCATTGTCTTCAGAGAATTGTTTATAGGGTTAGTATTTTCCTTCCTCTCCTCCACACTCTTAGCCTTCCCTCTGCTTGGTCTAACGACAGAGAGTGGAGAGCTCCCTTTCTTTACAGAATTTCCCCGGATCCAACGAAAACCATACACGTGCTTAGTCTAGACTGTAGCATTTTTCTCCTGAAACTGGTGGCCTTGCCCATTCTAGATTGAATGATTGGGGTGCGAGAGAGGGCTTGAATCCTCCTTTTGCCCCCATTCCCTGTCCACCCCTGCTTCAGGGAGAGGTTTGGCTCCAAGCCAGCTGTACCACCACCGCGCTGAGCGGTCGGGTGCAGCGCCGGCGCCTCCAGGGAGGCCTTTGGGCTCCATGATCGCGACCAGGGCAGATCCAGTCGCGACTTGCCGCAGCGAGTGTGGGGAAAGGCAGCTGTCGGGGAAGGAACTTTAAGGGGCGCCCCCGGGAGAGCTAGGGCGCCGAGGGCTGGGGGAGTTCAGTAGCCCGCGCTGCCTCCCAGGCGCTGCGTCCCCGCCAGAGCCGCGCGCTCCCCGAAGCCAGAGAGGCGCGGGGGGTCGGCCCCTCGGCGGCCAGCCTGGGGCTGCGAGCCGGTAGGGTCGAAGCAGGGGAGGCCGGACAGGCGCGGGCGGGAGCGGAAACCCAACGGTTTTTCTGGGAATTGGCCGAGGCGCGGGTCGATGAGGGTGGATCTGAGAAGCCCGCAGCGCCCGGGGCCACCGGGTAGGGATGCGGGGGAGGTGAAGGCAACCGGTCACCGCGGCCGGCCCAGCGCGGGGAACCACACATCTGGGGGAGCACTGCCGGAGGGAGGGGCGCGGTGAGGGTCCGGGCAGCGGCTGGACACCAGCTGCGTCTGGGCACCGGGGCCACGAGCTCCTTCGGCTGGGACGGCCCGGCAGACCCGCGTGGAAAGCTGCAAACGTGGCCCTAAGCCCGGGGGCATTTCGGTCACTTGGTCCTCCCAGCCCTATCACCCGAATGGAATGGTCCCGGGGTGTCCCCACAGATTGGCGCAGGTTGGGGCTGCTCAGACGGAAAGAAGAGGATCCCTCGTCCCGCACCCCCGGCATTCGAGGGCCACTGTTACCCCGCCGAGATTCCCAGAGTGGCTGGGCCTGGGGGCAGGAGGTGACCAGACCTCGTGGGGCAGCATGGCAGCGTGATCCTGGAGCGGCCCCGAGGGCCTGCGAGGGCCTGCGCTGCCGGGAGCTGCGTGCTTTCCGAACCGGGGCCACCTTCCCCGCGGGCAGTGAACCCTTCTGTGAGTGTCGCAGGAGAGGGCCGCCTCAATCCCACTGGGCTTCTAGGTCCCCGAAAACCGTCTGCCCCAGCCGGCCGGCCATGGGGAAGGGGAGAGCTGGTCACCTTTCCTGCAGGGTGCACCCCGGGAGAGGGGCTGTGCCTTGCAATAGGGGATGGCAAACCCTGGGGGCCCTTTCCATACTCTGATGCCAGGGAGAGGGGCGGGTGCGCATCCTGGCCTTCAAGGCCCGCTTGGCTGGGCCCCTCTGACCCACCCTCCTCTGGCAGCGGGGAGGCTGCCACGCAAACACTGTCTGGGGCCTCTGAGCATTGCTCTGGAGTTCCCTCCGCCTGGAATGCCCTGCCCCCGTCAGCTCTGGGCCTCAGCCGAGGCCCCGACCGAGCCTTTCGGCCCCGCCCCACCCCAAGCTGGCGCCACCGCACCCGCCTGAACTCTGACCTCCCGCCCCTGGCGCCACCTGTACCCTCGCTTCGGCCCTTGGCGCTCTCCTCCTAGGGTCACAGGACCCGTAAGAGTGGGAGCTCCCTGAGGGCAAGAACCGTTTCTTGTTCCACCTGGCGCACAGGGGGCGTGGGGTTGGAAGGGGGCGTGGAGCGGAGGTAGAGGAGGGCCCAGCCGGGCACCCGCGCTACTGGCCGGTCCGAGGCCTACATGCAAACGAGATGCAAATGAGCTCCTGAAGCGGCGCGCCCGACCCTCCGCACGCACCGCCCTGTGCTTGCCCCCCAGACTCGGAGAAGCCGCCGCTGTCCCCGGAGTCCTCGGAGCAGCGCCCGCAGGCCCCGACCAAGAAGCTCCGCAAGCCGAGGACCATCTACTCGAGTCTGCAACTGCAGCACCTGAACCAGCGTTTCCAGCACACGCAGTACCTGGCGCTGCCCGAGAGGGCCCAGCTGGCCGCGCAGCTCGGCCTCACCCAGACCCAGGTGAGGCCCGCCCCGTCCTTCCTGCAGCTTAGCCTTCCCCGGATGTGTTCTCTGGGAATTCACCCCCTTCCCCGGGGGGGTGCCCCAGGAGTCCCCTAGCCCTGTTGTCACAGTTCTCCAGGGCGTGTTAAGAGGTGGCCCTCAGTTAGGTGTTGGGGGAATGTGTTAAAAGGTGTGTTGGGGTGAGGGAGGCAGATGCAGGTAGAGGACGGGGGCACCCAGACCTGGCAAACTGGATACTAGCTCAGGGGCGGGACCTCCAGCAACTGCAGGGACTCTGGAGGACTGCAGCATGTCCCCAACCTCTGCTCTGCTCCCAGGACTGCACCCACCGCTGCTGAGTCCCTTTCCCTGGCCCACCGCCTCCCACACACATACTCCTCCTCATCTGCCCTTCTTGCCCTTCTTCTCTCCAAAGGTGAAGATCTGGTTTCAGAACAAACGCTCCAAATACAAGAAGCTCCTGAAGCAGAACTCTGGAGGACAGGAAGGGGACTTCCCTGGGAGAGTCCCCCCCTTGTCTCCCTGCTCCCCGCCCCTTCCAGCCCTCTGGGATCTGCCCAAGGCAGGGGCCCTGCCCACCAGTGGCTATGGCAACGGCTTTGGAGCCTGGTATCAGCATCACTCCCCAGATGTCCTGGCTCCATCTCAGATGATGTGAGTCCCGGGAAGGTGGGTCAGGCCCCTGTCCTCCGCAAAGCCCAGGACCCAGCCCAGCTGCACCCCTTCTGGTCCCAGAGGAAACCAGCTCCAGATGGATTTTGTCAAGTGGACAAGGAGCTCAGAGCAAGGATGAGGTGGAGTCCTCTCTCCCGTGCCCTGTAACCCAAACGGCCTAATCAGGACTTTGGTCTTAACCATCGGCCCCACCACGACCGTGGACTGGACCCGGTCTGGACCCGTTCCCTCCAGCTGATCAGGGGCTCTGGAGGGAGAGTTATCAGCTGACTTCCCACCCCCTCCCTGGACTGCAGTCTACCACAGCCTGGGGGCAAAACTAAGAAACACTTGAGTATTTTTTCCTCTCTGTGTGCCTTGGGCCTCACCCAACCCTGTTACGAGCAAAAGCAGAAGTGAAGTGGGCATCCCGAGGCTTCACGATGAGGACCATCGGGTCCCCCCTCACCGATTTTTCCTGGTGGTTGGCCCATTATCCCCATGACTGATACACCTCACCATCTTGTGAGGGGGAAGAGATGCCGAAAATGTGGAGTTTGTGGACCTATGGGTAATTCATGCTCTTCTCCTAAAAAAGCCTTCTTCCCATGTCTATTCAGTTATAGTAGATAACACATCCAATTATCCTTGCAATTCAACGGGTATTTATTAAGAGCCTAGCCCCTCCTTTCCCACCCTTAATACCTAATAACTCCATATGCACAGCCTCTTGGGAACCTGTAGGGTAACACTCTGGGGAGAATGGGAGGGCAGACAGGCTCTCTGGATGAGTGTAAGTAGAGACACCCCCAAATAGGGAGGGTGGGCTGGCAGTTCAGCTCCTCACAGCTGTCTCTGTGCAAAGGAGTTGCTCCTATTTATAATCCACACCAGGAGCTTTTGGAGATTAAATCTGTACAAAAACCTGGGCTCTGGCTGTGAGTCTGTTTGTTTCCTGACTTCTAGGGGTGGGGGTTGGTTGCTCATCTCTCTCTCTCTCTTTCTCTCATCTCCCATTAGACTCTTCCAACACTGAGCTAGAGGACAGGATACAAGTTTTGCCTCTACAACTACCTAGCTCTGCAGTTGTAGCTCTGGAATGTTCTAATGACCGTTTTCATACACTCCAGTGTGAAACTGGAAGATGCCAGTACTGCAAAGGACCAAAATCTGAGTAGTCTTCACCTGCAAATTCTGTCCTGGCCCCGTTCTGGAGGGAGCCAGGGACAGGAGTCCCCCGGGGCTCCATCTTCCGTCCCTGCTCACTTGGAAAGAGGACATGCCCACTGAGTCAGTCTGGTCCTCCCAGTGTGCTCCTTGGGCTGGAGAGGCCCCAGCCCAGCAAGGGAAGGGGGAGGAGAAGAAAATCCCAGAAGGAGCTGGACTTCTCCTCCATCCAACAAATGTGTGTGAAGCCTCTGCTCTGTGTTAGACCCCGGAGACACCGGGTGATTGAGGCACATGGGGGAGCCAGCCAGATAGCCAGCCCTTGTGTGGTAAGGGCCTCGTTAGAGGCCCCTGGCATAAGTCAGGGGCTCCACCTTGCTTGGACCCAGCGGTAGATTCGTGGCCTCACACGCCACCACACACACAGCACCCAGTGGCAGAGAGGCTCAGGAACAGGGCTGCGAACTATTCAGGGAATCCAGCCCAGCTTTGGCCCAAGGGATTGGGGGAGGGGCCTCCAATTCCAGGCAAAAACTTCCCGAGTCATCTTCCCAGTCACTGCCTAAACCTGTTCCCAAGCACTGCGAACTGGGGGGCTGCCTTAGTTGGAAAAGCCCAAGTAGGCACTTCGAGCCAACCTCCCTGGCCCGAGAGAGGCCCACATTGGGGTCTCCGTAGAGTAGAAGGGGTACAGAGTCAGTGGAACCCCCACCCCAGGAGGCCTGCTGTCAGCCCCTCCTAGGCCCCTGCTGGGTCAGTGGCCACCCCCACTCGCCACAACACACCTGGAGGTTTATCCTGGGGATGGCAAGAGGCATGGAGTGGGCCAAAGCCAAGATCCGAGCAGTGAGGAGTGATGGTGCCAAGAGCAAAACACCCCCTCTTCCTCTGGGCCTTCCCCTGCCCCTAGCCCGCAGCTCCATAGGCTCTCAGGGCCCAGCCCCAGGTCCCTCCCCTGGGGCTTCTTAGAGGCCACAGGCCCTCAGGGAGGCTGTTCCTCCCACTGCAGGTTGCACTCCTCTTTCCACAGACCCAAGATAAGATCTACCGCCCCATCTCGGAAAGCCTCCAAAGGCGAGATTAATTGGACAGCCCAACACGAGTCGCATCGTTAAAACAACAGGCCAGGTTGTAAAGTTAAGTAGCAGAAGGAGTATAATTACTCTCCCAGCCAGAGGCCAGCTACCCCCCATCCCTGCCCCCATCCACCTGACCTTTCCAGGGGAAACCAGAGTCCTTTCCACTTGGGAGTTGGTCCAACCTCCCTGGGCTCCTGTGTGAGGATGGACTTGAAACCCCAGCCAGGGGGATGTGCCCCATCATCTCTCTCAAGCCATCTAAGCTGTAGAAGGGGAACCCTGGGGTTCCCCACGAAGACTCCCCTCTGGGAAAATCGGGTCAATAATGGAGCGGGGACAAAATCGAATGGTTAAGAATGGCAGTTTTGGCCTGCAAAGCATCCAGCTCTGCTGTGTGACTTTTGGTGAGTTACTTAAACTCTCTGTGAGCCTGGTTTTCCTCCCTCCCCCCACCAAAATGGGAATGCTAATAGGACCTGCTTCACAGTGTAGCTGTGATCACGAAGTGAGATAGTGCTCGTACTGTGCTTGACACGGCGCCTGGAACATAGGACTCGCTTCACAAATGTCATTTATGGCTGCTGGGTGATTATCGGGGAGAAGGGGTCACGGCCAGGGGGAGTTCATACTGCCACCACCATCCATTCACTTCTCACCTCTCTGCCTCCCGAGGGTAGGGAGGAGGAATGGGGCTGGAGGCTGGAGACCTGTGCGTATTCCTTGTCACCACCATTCGAAAGCAGGGCACAGGAGAGGTCCTAAATGCAGAAGGGCATCTAAAATCAGCTGAGACTGGAGAATGGGAACCAGGAGGCCAGGGCACACTCTCTCACCTACAAGGGTCTCAGCCACAGGGAAAAGCTGACTTGGGGCTTCCCTCCCCTCTCCCCATATGCTGTTTTAAGACAGGCCCCCCATTCTCTCCCCCAACAAAATGAGATTCAATTAATTCAATTAAAGCAATTTGGGGAGCAGCTCCTGAAGGTTTTCAATGTGAGATAATTACAAGTAATTTGCTGCCGTGAAGAGGAAAAGGGTGCACGGGTTCTGGGGTGGGGGGAGGAGGTAGCCCCTCCCCACCAAATGCACACAGATCTAGAGGGATTCCACACTGCAATCTTAAGTGCCCTCCCATTGGCCAAATTACTTGCAGGTGGGAAGTGGGAGAAGGTCTTGGTGGGAGGGGGCTGGGAAGACACGGAGTGACAGACCCACCCTCCCCCATCCCCAAATCTGCTGTGCAAGGTGGGGGTGGGGAGCTGGCTGTCCCCCGGACAAAATGTCTGCTTAGCCCTAGCAGCTGATTACTCAGCTCCAAACCTCATCTGAGTTTGGATGCCTGAACTTGCCTCTGGGATTGGATCCAGAGTCAATGGAATGTTATCCGGGTAGCGGAGGCCTGTGTAGACGGGGTCTTGGAGATACAGGACTTCCGCAGAAAGTGTAAGGGATGTGGGTAGAGAGGGGAAAGGCCAGAGAAGGCTACACTGATTTCTTGCTTCCAAGGAGGTGATGATGCACCCATTCTCCCTCCTCCCCCATCAAGGTTTGCTAGTTCTGCTGGAGTCTCAACTCAATTCTTTCCATTCTTGTGGCGGCGGGGGGGGGGGGGGGGGGCAAATATCCTCTCAGCTCTCTGTCCTCAGGACCGCTGAAGCCTCTTGCTTTAGAAAGGCATCCCACAGGTGTTTCCCACCCCCATTCATCTGGATAACCCTTTCCTTGCCAGGACTCCTGTGGCCTCGGCGGGGTGTGGGATGGGGGGCTAGAGGTAGAGGGAGGAGTGCGGAGCTGAGACAGAGGGCTGAGGGTGCTTCAGGCCTCCGCAAAGACTCCTCTGAACGCTGCCCGCAGACAGCTGGTTTTCTAGGGACTAGGGTCCCCCCTTATCTGGGAGCCCCAGTTCCAGGAGGTGAGTAATGTTTTTGCAGCTATGGTGGAAAAGAAAAATTCTCTGACCCCCAATGTGTTTCTCTTTCATGCCCTCCTTTCTTGTTTCTCCCATCCCCAGGAGGGGTGAAGAGGAGGGCCTCCAGCTCTGGTTTCTCTCTAGCCAGCCCTTGCCCCACCCCTTCTCTGAGGAGCCCCGGCTGTCGGACCCTGGGCGAGCCACCGAGCCCCAGGGTGACTACTAGCCTAGAGAGGGAAAAGTGGCCGCCTCTCTCCCTTTCCTGGCCAGCTCAGATGGGTTCAGAAGGGGGAATTAAAGACCTTTCCACCCCCATCCTCAGAACACAACAGCCCCAGACAAGGCACAGAGCTGAGCAGATGCGGGGACCCAGGCGCAGGGACTCCACAAGTGCACACACATTTCCACTGAAGAAGGTGCACACACGGGCAGGCAGACACGCAGCGACACACATGAGGTTGGCAGAGCCACACACTGACACGTGAGAGCCTGCGCCCGAAGACCCACCGTGATGGTACACGGACCCGCGCGCTCACGGGTTGTGCATTCACAGAGAGAAGAACAGCACACGGGGATGAGCCAGGGGGAGGCACGGGGACTTAAACATACACAGAAGCAGAGAGAAACATACCCAGAAACAGACTAGCTTCCCTGGGGGTTGTGTGTGTGGAGTGGGGACGGCTCTCTCTCTCTCTCTCTCTCTCTCTCTCTCTCCCACCTCCTCTCACTCTGGCCCTTTGTGCTAGCTCTCTGTCTCCTATTTTCAGGGAGTATTTCCCTGGTGAGCAGCTGGGGAGGGAGGGAGACTGAATGGCCACAGAAACCCAGTAATTTTATTATGACTTTATT